GATAGTACTTTGCTTTCATCAATCTCGCACATAGACTATCCGGTCTTTCTAGCAATCTCCAAGCTTGCCACGCTAGGAGAGCTTGATTAAACATCCTCATGTCCCGAAAGCCAAGACCCCCTCTGATTATTTGGGCGTATCATTTTCCCCATGCAATCTAGTGAGTCTTATGCCTTCCATTCTCCACTCCCCACCAATAACTGCGTATCATACGAGTAAGATCGTTGTATTGCCATTATTGATAGAGTAAAATTAATCATATGTCTTAAATGTACGAAATGATATATTCCGGACGTCCTAAAACTATTACGGATGTGTCAATTTTTATCGAGTTTGGACTTTGTTTGATATGGATATTATGCGAAACAAAAAATATGCAACAAACAGGAACTGGCACTGGGCACTGGATCAATATGTTAGTCCCCAAAATAATATAAATGTTGCCAAAAGTATATATTGGCATGGACAATCAAAAATTATAGATATGATGAAGGCGTATCAAAGTCCTCTGAAGCTTAACTGATACATACACTTTCTTGTTTCTCTGAAGCTTAATTGATGTGCTTCTCTGTAGCTTAGGTACTATGTTTCTCTTTAGCTTAATCATTTCACCATTTGTAAGTAACTTCTTTTCCTTGCAGATTGGCAATTGTGGCTATGTTTAATGGGTTGATATGGAGTATCCTAAAGCTACTAAAAAAGCTCTTCAGAAGCTTTGGACAAGATATGAAGATTGTTGTGCTGCTAGAACCAAGGAAGGGGCTGATCATGCACAAATAGTGCTTTAAGCTTGAAGAGGAGGTTAATAATGATACCCTGCAGTACAAGAACCTTCTTACTGAAGTTAAAAAAATGCTCAAGCAACAAGTGGAAAAGAATCGTCAACAAACTTACAAGAAAATAGTGTCAAAGGACAATGAAGGCTTGTAGAAGCAGCTGGACCAGAAGTAGTATGTCATTAAGGATATGAAGGCCATTTAGAAAGCACAAGGAGAACTGATCAGGAACCCGAGGACTGAGCTGCATGAGCTAAAGAAGGATAGGGATATCCAGGGACTCAAGAAGGAGATGTGTGTGCTCAAGGCTGAACTCCAAGACCACAAGAAGGAAAAGAAACAACTTATGAAGGACAAGATTGAGGTGATGTATGAGATGGATGGGCTGCAGATGGAGAAGAAGAGGCTGGAGATAGCTATTGCTGAGCTTACCAGAGTTGGAGAAATTCATGAGGGCAAGCTGAAGAAGATCAAGGAGATTTGTGATGAAGACTATGTCATCGAGCTTAGTGGCTGAGACTTAGTCGAATCTAATGCTGTTGTATGCACTATGCTATATATCTACTTTTGTTCCTGCTGTTGTAAGCACTATGATACCTACTTATGTGTGAGAATCGTTTTAAGCACTATGATAACTATCTAAATTGCTGGTGTTGCAATGGTATAAACTATGTATCAGGTTTAATCTGGGTGCTATCTATTGTTGTATGCACTATGCTACCTATCAAGATAATTGTTTGTGTGTACTATTTATGGAGAGTACTCCACTTATCTATCATGATGTTGCCAAGATGGATGGATGACCACAAGACTTGGTTGCCAAGATGGAGAGTACTCCAAGATGGATGATAAATAACACAACAGGTTGCATACTCAGAATGCACATAGAAGTAGCACATCACTGCACAACACTTGTGATATACAAATTGAAACAAACAACACAACCTAGACCCATAACATGCACCTGGAGTATAACAGGTTCCATACTCTTCCTGTCTTGCATAAGTGCATAAAAAGAAACAATTAATACAACTGATTCATAATAGAGGTAACACAGTAGGGACCATAAAGGATCACAACAAAGACCCATATGATTGCTTGCTAGCTAGCATAACAGCTGACCACATTGTTTGCATTAGGCATTACAACCTAAGATCTGTAGATCTACAAAATATACCACCAACTTCTTCAGCTTCTTGGTGTTCCATGACCTATTATATATATTAACCTAATATGTACTTAGTCTCCATGCACCCACCTCGCTCCTTCAGGATGGACTTGATCTTCTGAAGCTTCTCCTTGCTATCATGCCAACCCTTAAGCAATTCAACAATCACACTCTCAAGGTTCTTCTTCTCCTCTTGAAGAACATCCCTGTCCTCCTTGACCTCCTTCATGGCCTTCCTAGTGTTCTCGATTATAGCTGGATGAGAAATTAGGATGCACCTCTGCTCCTTGGCCAGCCCCATCTTCTCCATCTTCAGCTCCAGTTTGCACTCCTCCTCTAACTCTACAAGCTTTGTCTTGACATCTTCAACATGCCTTGCTGCATTCTCATGTTCCATATGCTGCACGTTCCATCTTGCCAATCAAAAAGCTGGCCAACTTCCTCAACCATGTCACTGAATTTCTTGGCCAGGAATTCATTTTGCTTCTCTAGTTTGGCTATTTGTTTGTTGTAAGCCTGCCTATCCATCACCCTGCCATAGTTCTGGTCACGAAACATCTCCCACAGTTTTGTTAGGCACCTCTGAAATATGACAAGCCAGTGACCATCAACCCACCGAATCACTCCACTGTCAATACCTCCATGCAAATTCAGTTGTCAGCAGTAACTGTAGTTAAAACTACCAAATTCAGTTCAAACTACGATACAGTTGAAAGTAGCAATTCAGTTAACAATAGAAAATCACTACTAACACTATCAAATTAAGTCAGCAGCAATTCAGTTAACAATAGCAAATCACTGCTAACACTGTTAAATTAAGTTTACAATAGCAATTTAGTTAACAATATCAAATTCAGTAAACTACAAAATATTCAGTAAACATCAACACATCCAGTAAGCACTGGCACATTCAACACAAGCAAATTCAGTTAACAGTAGCATATTTAATTAACAGTGGCAGATTCTGTTTAACAGTACCACATTCAGTTAACACAAGTAAATTCAGCTAACATAGTACCTAATTCAATTAACACAAGCACATTCAGTTGATAGTAGCAGATTCAGTTTAACAAGACCACATTCAGTAAACACGAGCACATTGAGTTAACACTAGCACATTCAATTAACACAAGCAAATTCAGTTAACAGTACCACATTCAGTTAACACTAATGCTTCAGTAAACAATAAGCTCATCAATTATTACCTGCTTAGCACAACCATAGCCAGCGCGTGATTGGCCACGTCAAAACGGGTTCATTATTCAGTTCTCTGTGTTTTGCCACTGTCAAAATTTCGTTGTGGTGTACAGTGTCACATTTTGTAAAGTGGTAGTTTTCTGAGAGCTATGAAACAAGTGATGATTCTGTGCATTTTACTCGAAGCAAGCTAATAAATCGGTCGAAAGGTACCTACATGGTGGTCATATCGTCATGGAGGCGATACTCGCTCATGGCCAAGTTGGTGATATCGCTGTCGGGCGCGAAGCCGAGATGCGAGCCACCTTTGCGCCTGTCCTTACCCGTAGGCTGACAATCATGATTTCATGAAAAAGAAATCTTTCCCGAAGCACATATTTTCACTCACTGTGTTGGAGAGCTACACTAGTGTTATGCTTGCTTTGCTTGCAAGCGACAAACATTTACTCATCGGTCAGTATGACAGTATAATAATGCGCGTCCCAATCCAGCCGTATCGGATTGCAGACCTGCAGCTACTCTCACCTAGCAGCAATCTTTGTGTGTTTCTGATTAAGGAGAAACCCAACATTTCTTGGTAATATCATGCATATATCTGATCTTTTGCTTAGTTGTCTTTACTTTAATGAAACATCAACCTCCTCTTAAAAGTCTTGTTATCAACCTTTTCCCCATAAGGTCGATTATAGATAGATCCAAGTAGCTTCTCCAACCGAAGTCATCTTTTCTAGAGTGGTAAATTTTTATTTGTCTCCAATTCTGAAGACAAAACCAATCATGTATTTATACAGAGCTTTCGCTAATGTTGGCACTCAGCGTCAAATTGTAACACCGAGTAACCTGGACGGATATGTGCAACCCTTCATGACAATCTAGGATTATACAGAATGCCAAACTATGATGTAGGAACGCATCAAAAGCAGAGTGGAGATGCCATCCAGTTGAGAATTTACTTTTTAATTATCTACTTGTTTCCTATCAGGCAGGACGAACCATCCAATGCATTGTAGGTGCACCCAGTCATGATTTTGAAGAGGTTTACAAGGATCAGATCAACAATATGCTATCATGGGGCGAGCTAATAAATCGCTCACTGATGCGAAAGAAACCTGCATGGCAGACATATCGTCCAGAGGCATTACTCATTCATGGCCCAGTCGGTGAGGGCACCGTTAGACGGACAAGTGAAGACATTGTCCAACTTCCATATTACAGATATAGCTCAAATAGCTTCTTCAACAAAAGTGATCTTTTACAATGGTAAAAGCAGCCTTACAAATTGTAGAGTGGTAAGTGTTTTTTTTTTCGATGGATTACTTTGACAGGGTTTTGAAGTAATGATATCGGCTCTAATGTTCATTGAGAACTTAGTTGGCTCAATGTAAGTGAAAATAAAAAGTTTGTTTGTTTGGTACCTTCTTATATTTTATTTACATACTATACTGATATAATATACATCATATAAATATTTCTATTACACTAAAAAAATTGATGCAGAGACCACAACAACCAAATGGACAAGCAAATCTCACAAAACAACCAATATACTCCCTCCGTTCGGAATTACTTGTCTCTGAAATGGATGTATCTAGAACTAAAATACGTCTAGATACATCCATTTTTGCAACAACTAATTCCGAACGGAGGGAGTATCAGTTAAGCATCATCAAACAACGTCAGAGAACAGTCACAGGAAACGGACAGGGCTACTATTCCTCAGGCCCATTCTCCACAAGACTTTGGGACCTCAGGCGACCGGCCAATTCTCCAAGACATCACTACCAACCGATTATCCGACAACTTCACAGCCAATATTCAACACCTCCATCAGTCCATTGACAATCTTGAGTTCTTCACCTTCAGCAGGCAACTACTTCTTCCCCCTGACCGATGCAATTCTTCTTCCTCAACTCATCTCCTCCCTGTTGAACAGCACCCAAGTTCTTTCCGCTGCCCCCTGCTTTATAGATATTCCAGATTGCATAGGCGCTTACGCCAGGGCTTAAGCACATCCACAGAATATAGAAGCTATGTCCATTGAGAAGGTAACGCCTAAATATCATCCAGGTGAGATGCAACAAACATTTATTAATTCATCTATTTAATAATAGAAATATTAAAGATAAATTAATAAAAAGGGCGTATGTTGGAAGAAAATATGTACCACGCGATGCTTTCGGGCCTAGGTTTGATGTGCGCGGAGAGATGATGCATGAGCTGGACGTTTGCGTAGCACATGGAGCCGTCATTGCGCTTATAGCCGTGGCGCAGGATGAGGTCGTACAGCTTCTCCTTCTTCTCTTGGATCTGCTCCAGGACCTCCCTCCCGGCTTCTTCTTTCCCGTGCGATGAAAAGGCCTGCAGCATTTGTGTAGTTAGTTAGTTAGGGCATCTTTAAGGCGGATCCGTAAACCTCCCGCAACCGTTTAGGCCGTGCTGTCCGGACCGTAGAAGCCATTCAACGCCTATTTGTATTGGTCGGTGGAGCGGTTTGAACACGATTACTTTCACAAACCAGAGACAAACATGAGAAGGGTTGCTTGGACCGATCCCAAGTCCGTTTTCTAATCGTCCTGGCCCACCAAAAAACCCACCCCACTCCTGAGCGCGCTCCCACCAGGCGTCAACTGTCCGCATTCATGCCGCTGTAGAGCGCGTCGTTCAACATTCAAGACGGCTTAGGACGGACGCGGCCTCTCACTGCTTCCGCCATTGAAGCGAGGCGCCGGCCGAGTGCGCTGCCCGCCGGTGTCAGCTTCTATTCAATGCCGGAGACACGTGCTGGACGGGACGGGACAGATGCCTACCGCGCCCGTTCAATGTTGTTGTTCATCCGTCTGCTGTTGTCCGTCTGTCTGCCACCATTAAGCAGCCTCGCTGCCGAGAAACCCACTCCGGCACAGCGCATTGATGCAACGGACGTCTGGCCTCACCGGAATCCACTATTTAAAGGCGCCCACACCTGACTAACTCCACACCACAACATCATCCCCTCCACATCCTCCTCCCTTGCACTGCATCTGCTATGACCACCAGCGTGAAAGCATTGTGAGACAGTATATCGTTGGAGATAAAGCACACGGTGGCCGCCCTTGCTGCCGCCTGGCACAGCTGTCGTGCCAGGTGGACCGAGGCCGACTTGCCGGCCAGCTCGCCCGAGGTCTCCGACGACAATGACACCACAATGGAGACGGGTTCCGACGACTCCGCCCCTGCTCCCAAGCCTCCTGTGCACGCTGGCTTTACCATGGAGCAGACACAGTCGTTGTTCAACGACGCCATTGCAAACGTGCAGCCTGTGCCAGCGCCTTTGTCTCGTTGTAGCGCTATTCCTCCTGGAGCAACATAGGCTGGCGAAGGGCCAGATCTACGGCGAGCGCACGAGTGAGGAGGCCGTGGCGGTCATGATCGCGACGAACCCAAATTTCGTCATGGAGCAGCGTGTCATCTACAATGCGGGGCGGGTCTTTTTTTTGTTCGAAAGTAATTAAATCCGTTGTGTTTGAATGAAATCCGGACGTGTTTGCATGAATTTTATTTAATTTGTTGAAAAATAGTTTGAAATATAGACGACTAGCGTTAGATAGCGACCTTCCATATCCATGTCCACGGACTGGGCACGGGCGGATGCGGGAGGTCTTTTTGCTGGTTGCCGTCAAAGACGCCCTTTGGCATAGATGCATATTATTTATTAAAACAAGAAGACTTGATAACTAGGGATTTCGAGATCGAATTACCACCTGGGTGAGATTCGGGCGGCCCAAGCCGAGCACCGGCGGTAGAAGGCGGCCGCCACCGGCGAGCCTCCTTCCGGCAGCGCATCGGAGAGCCGCCATCGCCATCTTCGGTCAACGGCAACAACGGATCTTGTCTTGTGATTGTTGGTGCGGCTAGGGTTCTTGGCTCTCAGGGAGGAAGCGACGGCCTGCGCTGCGCCGTATTAAATGTCACAATCCGCCCCGGAGGAGGTAGCAGAGTTTATCACGATTATTAATAAAAGCGGTTCATTAATGGAAAAAATAAAAAAAATAAAAGCGGTTCCGCTCACCCCTAAAAACAAATAAAAGCGGTTCCGCTGATGGACCGGCACGGTAAGGTAAGGTGCGACTGTTGTCTCTTTTTTTTTCATGTTTCTTCTTTTTTTTCTCTGTTTAGATTTAGACTTTTTGCCATTTTCTTCATTTGCCTTGTGACTGATTCATATAGATAAGCCATTCACTCTTTTTCAAGTCGGTTGCACAGTGTATATTATTCCAGGGTGACATGCATAGTGCGGGCGACGCATGCATAACTTCCGATGACATCATCATGTCCTTTTTAAGTTTCGGGGAGTGCATGTACTGTTTGGATACGAGGATTGATAAAAATTACTTAAAAAATGTTTTTATATTATGGGACAGGGGGAATAGATTCCTAAAAACGTTATATCAGTTTTAACAACCTAAAACCTTGTTTGGGTTATACGTCTAAAATGTGGATAAGTATAAATGAGTTATGTAAAAACCCAAAAAAGCCAGTTTTTAGAAAAAATGACCAATAGTCGGTTTTGTAAAAACTCATAACTCGGTGCGGCGCAACTGCGGATCCGCAACTGCATACTCGAATCGAGGAGTATCGTCACGGCGAACTACGTCGACGCCGGCAACGCCTCGCCGGCATGCAGTGCCTAAATTAGCCGCTTATCTCGCCATGCATATCTCCTCCATGACCCTATACATCTCCTTTGATCGCCTTCCTCCAGCCGCCGGTGCGTACCTGGCTCGTCCACGACCGCCGCGACGGCCGCGTCTTCCTCGACCGCGCTGCGCCCTGCCGGCTGCACGGCGTTCATCAAGGTTGCTGTCTGCGACCCGCTCTTCCCGTGGTTCCTCCTGCTGGTCATCCCCAACTCTCTTTCCGCCTTTGTCGAAAATCCCGGCGGCGATGGAGAGGAAGGCAGTGTAGAAAGATGTAGGATGCAACTCATTGTATTCCACGGAGTCGGTTACAATATATACACAGGATGTCTTGCGTGACAAGGAAACTAATCCTACCATATCTCTAGGAGTCAACTATATAAGGCTAGAGAAGATAGG